ATGCTTGTCTTGAAGTCGTCGGTGGCACGGAACTTCTTGTTGAACTCCTTGGTAAAACCGTATGACAAGTCAATGAGCTCCAGCCGGCATGCGAAGGCTGGAATGATGGTTGAAGACTCTAGGACTTAAAAAATAAAACAACTCACTGACTCATGCGTCAGCATAGATGTTTATGAGTTCTTTGCTGTGTTTTTGTGTGCCAAGACTCATTCTGCGCCTGTTTGAGCAAAAGCGCCTGATCATCCTTGCTCAAGGTGTCCTTCCAGGCATAGAAGTCGTCCTTGAAGCCCCGCATGGCCATCTTGCTGCCAGCCCTGGGGGTGGCCGAGTTCACAAAGCCGCTTTGGCTCGGCATCAAGGAGCTCAACATCCAGGCGCCCAGCGCCAGCAGCACCACAGGGAGAAAGCTCATAGAGCGGGCCATGGCAACTATCTCTCAAGAGTTGCAGGAAAAGCTTTGCCTTTGCAAAAGCTGGTGCTGAAAAAGCTACAGCGGCAAGGCTCAATATCAGCTAGTCACAAGAGTCAAGCCATCTAGAGCGCTACAGTATGCATTGCCGGCCTTCATTTGAGAGCATTGAAAAAGGCTTTCACGACTTTTCACGACCCTTTAGCTCCGACAGGATCCCAAACAAGTGATTTCCACAAGAGCCGAACCAGCTCAGCATCTTGTAAGCAAATGGCTTGTTTCTGAAACTCTGGCTGTATGCATGCATTTAAGATTCTGTATCAGCAAATCTCAGCAGGGGAGGCAGTGGTGAAGTTAGAGCCAGCTTGGGACATGTCCTGAAAACAGGGAGGGCCATGCTGCACTGCATGTCAGAAAGGAAAAAAATAGAATGTAAAAGTCCCAGGTGTTGAGGCTCTTATATATTTGACGGACAAGCCTTGACAACAACAAAGGATGCTGAGATGTGCTGAGAGAATAATTACCAAACTTAAGCGCTGAAAGAATCTTGAGGATTAGGTCAGGTGTGCAAAGGACTTTGACATCTTCATGCCTGGAACCGCAGCTCGATCACTCACCCAGCCCAACATTTTTTTCAAGCGCTGGGCCCCGAAATCCGCAATCAATGCACCGATGGCACAAAAGCTTCCACCCAACATGTCCCTGTGCTGAAATCTGTGCGAAACACTGTTCCAATTTGGGAGACCGCAGGCACATGCTGTTCCAGTGAGACTCCAAACGGCGAAACCTTCAAATCATATTGGTTTCGACTGTCAACTTCATCTGTGCAAGTGTCTCACATATTGGTATGCATGTAAACCATTGTAAACCCACAGGTCTGCTGTCTGATGAGTGTCGTCTGCTGACTCACGGGCGGTGTGTGGCTCACGTCTTTTTCCGTCGCCTCAGCTGATGTCCCAATCGGACTGGCAACAAGAGGTGGATGACAAGGTGTTTCAAGAAGTACCACCTGAAACCTGTGCACACTGCTTGGTTTTTTGCAACATCTTGCAACACCGAATGTTGATGTCCTTCGTGCTGGTGAAGTGTGGAAGAGTAGTGGAAGCAGCCCTTACTCGTGCTGATAGTGCTGCTGCCTAAAGACCAACACAAGTGCAAGTGAAGAAAGTTTGCTTCTTTGGACCTGGACCTGAGCCCTGTGCGGGTCTTCTTAGGGCTCTTCGAGAGAAACCGCCAGTGCTCACTGTGTTTGGGATCGGTCGACAAAAGAAGATGAACGACGTGGGAGGTTCTAAAGGGCCCATCCGTCTAGGAATTGTTCTGTCCCAACGGCACGGCCGAGAGTGATGCACCCAAGCTTAAACGGAAGAAATCGCGTCAGAACCAACCTCTGGATGCAGCGGAGAACGCTTCAAAGTCCCATCTGTTTTGACGGTTCCTGCGGGGTTCTGACAGCTGTCTCAAGAACATGCCAAACCGTTCCGCAGTCTTTGCAGTACATGCCGCCTGTTTTCCCAGGCTGGAACTGTCGCCGCTTCCTTGTTTGATGTCCCATCAATCCACTTGCAAAGCGATGATGTCAGGTACATCATTAGCCACTGGACGATCATCATGCCAACAAAGGATGCAGCTGGAAACAAAAGCCGAGCAGTAGTGCAATAATACATTAGCAACCCCTCAGCTCAGCTGGAAACTCTAGCTCTAGCACGGGATGAGCAGGTTCCTGTCTCAAGTGCACGCCCTGCCTGAATCCAATAGATGGTCCATGGCAATTGACGAGTATTGACGCCTTGAACTTGGACCGCTTCAAATGCACCCGGCATGCTGGGAATGGCTGGGAAGGGGTGGGAACACTGGGAAAACATGTGATCATGTGCTGTACAACGGTGTTTCAACCACTGGGGATGCGTCTCCATCGCTGTCCAGGAAGAAGCTTCGTCATGTCGGTTAGACGCAGGTGTGGCGCTTACTCTCTGGATCGGGGAGCTCCGACAAAATGAGGTCAAACAAGCGGCTTGCCCTTTCCGCACCCGCCATCTCCTGCACAATGTTGGGGCCGGTTCGTATCAATTGGCGTCCTTATAGAAATCCAGCTAAAGGTTCTTCTGTTCTGTGTTGATGGCTGATTTGGCAATCCGGCTGCCGGAATCTATGTAAGATTATATGTATAGCCCATACACCACGTCAGGACCTTTAGCATCCTTCTCTGAACATGAAGATCCTGAACAAACAGGAATCCTTTACAAACCAATGGTTTCATGTGGTTTGAGGCTCCATCCTTCCGTCGGAATGTTCCACTCAGGTGTCCTGATTCTTGGGCAACGCCACGAGCACCAGGGGGGTCACTGTTGTGCCGGAATCGACCGCGGCGGTTCTGCAATGATCCAAATCCCTTCTTGGGCCTCACCTCCACCTGAAGGACAAATGCTCAAAACAAAAATGAAAAACAGTCGGTGTCAAAACTAACAACCGAAGACGCATCTTCTTTTTACTTCAAGCAGCTGAACAGTCTACCCGGTAGCCAAAGGCACTTGCACCGAACGAAGAAACCATCAAACAAATTGGGATTGGGCAACCAAGTCACGGCACAGACTGGCCATGTCGCAGTAGCAATATCACTGTCTTCCCGTTCGAGACGTGAAGGAGGGAATTCACGAACGGCGACACTCACCAACTCATTTGACTCGTTCCATTTCATCAAGCCCTCTCCGGCAATGCTTGGCAGTTCATCCATCGACAAGTTCATGCGATTTGCTTGTTCGACATCCTCGGAAAGCGAATGTGGTGGCATTTCCATGGCTGCCTGGCATCTAGGTCCTTGTAAAGCACACAAACGGCTTCAATCAAAAAAATGCTGGTCACCCACAATATGTTTCATGACTTCTCTGATTTGCCGGCAGAAGCTTGAGTTGGAGAAAGCAGAAATGTTGTGCATGTGTTTGCTTTGGTTTTCCTCCTTCTGGCACAGATTGGACAAGGTCCAATGGCTCAAGTCTCATCGTGCAAAACTCAGCCATGTGCAAGACAGGGTTGCCTGCTTACTGCAGGGAATCACAGTCTTTGAGCTAGACCACAGCACTGTTTTGTGCTGGGTCAACAGCCAGGACCGATACGAGTAGTCTCTCTGAAAGTGTCTCAAAAGAGTGAGTGCAAGTGTATATGTGAACCCGCTGCAAAACCTTTGGTTCTTTAGTGGCACGCCTGCCAGCAACAAAGTATCTGCATAGTAGTGGCAACATGTGGCAACCATCACCTGGGACCCAGCTGTAGGCAATTGGGAAGATCTTGGCATGCAATTTAGCACCGAATGAGCTCGTCCCAAGGCCCGTCAGGAAAGTGTACATCTCATGTGCCCACATCTTAGACATGAGCATGAGCATCGCTTCTGCGGTTACGATCGCGGCTGAGGGCAAGTCGAGCTTCAAATGCACCCGACATGCTGCGGAAATGTGGGACACGCCGGGAAAAACTGTCCTGCACAACGGCGTTCCATCTGCTAGTGTGACGCCAAAGGGTCACGGCACCTGTCCATAGCAGAAAAAAAAAGGGGTCAAGGCAAATGGCCGCTACAAGTTGTTGCTTGAGAGCAGCTCTCTCCATTCAGGTCGCATGCACCTCGCCACCAGCCAACCACCGGTCGTTAACTGGAAATGACCGGACGCCGCGGACACCGTTCTGAACTGGTCGGTCAGGAATGATGGAATGGCGACGACTCTCAGGATCCGGGTGGTTGGAAAAGAGGAGGTCAAAGGAGCCGGGCTTCGGTGCCTGGCCCTCCTTGACTGGCTCCTTCAGACTCTCCTGGATGCGGTGAGTCAGCTGGGTGATCAACCTGTCCGCTCCCCATAATGATCAGCCAACCTGTCTGACTCTTGATTAATATACCACTGACCCACCCACACCCGCCCCAAAACGTGGCAAGGGACGGAGTGGGCGCGAGTGCATTGGACCGCAAGTGAGTGCATCCAAGTGGGTGAATTTATTAATCAAGTCTAATGTGGACCTCTGATTAATAGATTGCCCCCCAGAATAATGTATGTTTTGGGGGGAGTAACATTTTTGGTGATATATGTTTCAAATTGCTTTTTTACTCTCTGGTTTAATGATTTTGAGTAGCTCCAGAGGTAGCTGAGTAAGGATTATTTATTATGTATTCATCAATTGATTGGTTTTCTATCATATTATTCTAGGGTCTCCAATTGTTGAGGGGGGGGGTGATTAATCAAGAGTCGACATTACATTACTATCATCCCTTAAAACTTGGCTAAACTATGTCCAAGTGCCCATGATCAGCAACAGCAGCCAAAGCACTGCACCCTGGTACCACCTTCCAAGTCACCGAACACTACATGGGAGGAAAGTTGCAGTAGCCGTTGGCCCGGCCCAGGCAGCAGGTCTTTTCAATTGTATGGTTAACACGTGTTTAATGTCTGAAACACCACACACAACGACCACCTCATGTTTTCCTCTTCAAAAGATTATTGGCAACCCGACCCTTCACCATCTTCTCTGACAGACCCTTCTGTCCTGCAGTTTCTCAAGTGCAAGGGGGTCACTGTCGCGCCGGAAGAGGCGGCGCCGCCTCTGCAATGATCCCTTGTATCCCTTCTTGGATCTCACGGCCACCTTGTTTGGATCTTCCAGACTCCAATAAAACAATAAGGGACTCCACTCGAACTAAGTTCATGTGGGAAAAAAAGTTGAAAAAGTACATCACCGATTCGATTCAGAAAACTAAGCCACATCGCCCACTGACCATGTCCCGGTAGCAAAATCGTCATCATCAAGATCAAAAGACAACGAAGGCAATTCACGGATGGTCGCCGTGACGAACTCATTGACGTCCACCAAAGCCTCAAGCTCCAAGCTGGGTAGTTCACCCATGGACTTGCTCACCAGGTGTTCTCGACAAACCTTCTCGGGAGGCAAATGTGGGGGCAAATCCATGGCAAAGCAGTGTAGACCACGCAAGCGACTTGAATAGAACAAAACACTGCAAGGTGATGCAATGGCATCATTCAGCACATGCCGAATATAGTACCCCCTCCACAAAAAAATAATACGTAAAACGGTCCAATCCAACATTAGACAACTCAACTTCATTCGGCCAACGATGGTTGCTTGAGAGATGAAGTTTACATTGCGGTCATTTCCCCTTGGGGCCTGGGGGATGGTGATCTGGCGCTTTTCCGAAAGTGCGAGCCTCTCGGACTGCCTCGATTGGGCCATATGTTCCGTGATCCGGCGGACTACTGGGTGAGTCGCGCGGGAACACTGACATAGCACTGAAGGAGTGGTATCTGCTGAGGGCGGAGGGGACGCAGTGCAAACATTGAGCAATCTGAAACACAGCCAACACACCAGTCGCATTCAAAGCGAGTCATTATCATCCCCTCCGGCAAAGCCGGGAGCAAACTTCCACGAAAAATGGCGATGAAATACGGAGGTTGAACATTTTTGGTCCTGCTGTACAGGTTCAAAGGAGACCCTAATGCTCATTCTCACCTGTTGCAAGCTGGACTGCACAATTGTTAGCTTGCTACTCGAGACATGGGTCTGGGTCAAATCTACCCCAAATCTGAAGCATATGACTCAGCCAAATCAGAATTTGCAGCTGGATGCAGGCTCAGCCCTCTCAAATGGCGTCGGCTCTCTGGGTCTGGGATGTTGGGAAAGAGCTGCGAGAAACAGCTGGAGGTAGTCGAAGATGTTTCTTTTGAGCTTCGCCGGTCTTCCTCGTAAGCCACAATTTTTGGCAAGTTTCTATGGCAAACTGGCTGGGGCTGCCTCTGCTCTGCCGGTGTGCGTTTCCAAACAAAGAAGAACACATAGAAAAAATATATTCATCATGATTCATCTTCTTCTCAGCCCATCTCAGCCCCTTGCTCCGTTCTTTTGGGGATTTGTGAAGCGACCGACGTCGCCAATGTTGAGGGCAAAGCGGTACAAACCATAATGAACAATAAACTCGGAATCCGAACAAGCTTTTTGTCGGAGCTATGGCAGTTGTGACTTTTGTGGCTGCTACACTCCAAGAATGACTCTTATCAACGCATTGAAATGCCTAATTACCATGTCGCCAATTCTTGGGTCGCCGATTGTTTCCGAGGCAATCCGCATGAATAGGCTGCTTCTTTCTTCGCCCAGTGTCTCCCAAGTTGTCAAGGACCAAGGGCCGTGAGTCTCTCCTAAACTGATCCCGGCGCTTTTGCAACGATTCCTTGGAGTTGGACCTGGACGATCTTCCAGCCATTGGCCAAGACATCGTCCCAACAACGCTGTCACTGCCGTCACAGGCTTTGAGTTGCTCGGTCTTCAAGGCAGTGACGGGCATGGACAGAGTGAAATCCTCTCGATCCAAGGGCCTAGGCAAGTGCATCGGCAGAAAGGCATCGAAGGTATCCTCGACTTCATCCATTGAACTGTTTCTAAATTTGATGCCGCTCCTTTCACCAGCTCGAGCCTGAAGTTCTCCAAGGATCTCTAATGCCATGAACTCCATGCAAGTCAATAAAGTGAAGATTACTGACACTTGCTGGTGAATTTTTCTCTGGATATATAATAAGGCTCTTGATCTTGGCACATATTTCTGAGCCTGCATCACCACATCTTAAATGGACCGTATCCAAATCTTGACTCATTTCATGGCCATGGGCCATGGGTGCACAAAGTCTCACCATACCTTGCCAACATCATATATGTATAGCATATGGTGGATTTCAGACCCATGCCCATTGCCACATGATGCATTTGCCCAGGGCTGCCACGACCGTGATCGGCTTCGGGAACGATCCCTCCGTGGCACCTGGCTCATCCGCGCGTTGTGGGAGATAGTGCATGTCGGGTGCTATAGAAACATGAAAGGACTGGAACAGCTTACATGGAGCTGAGCAGTGTGAACATGTCGTGAACCTGTCACTTCAAACAATGCGAAAGGTAGGTCACCCAGCATCAGATTGATTGAATGCGGAGCCAAAACATCAAACCACGAAGCCACCCAGGCACCAGCTTGGCTTTGCTCTTGGAGGACTCAGCCAGCTTGGCTTTCAAATCCTGTCCGCTTTGTCCAAACGAGTGCCCCGGCCAGGTGTGCCAAACCGTCGGCGCTTAAAACATATAACATATAACTTAACATCACATTTTTGTTACTTTGTATAAATCAATTTTACATGATTTACGACGCATATATATATATATATTCATATATATATATAGTTATATTATATGTATACTATATATGTGTGTGTGGGGCCCATGGCGTGCAATGATTCATCACATTCAACATGCGAGGGGTTGAAAAGGACAGCACTTTTGCAGCAACGTGAGCTGCATCAAACGGTGAACATGGCATGAAAAAGCATCAAAACTCCTCTTCATCTAGCAGAATAAACAAACACAGTTGCCATAATAACCTTCAGTTCCTGTTTCCACGCAACACTCTATCGAAAGGTGGTCAGTGGGTGCCAACGTGACGCCGGAAAGGTAGAAGCCAAAATTGTTCCATGCGCACGATACTCTGCCCGCGATGCCCTGTCCGCTGCGCACTCCTTCATGGAGCTCAACAACTGCTCCTTCCCTGGAAAGTTCGGTCCGGCCTTGGAAGCCCAACTCACTGCACCGGTCGGCCGTGTAGTGGCGTGTAGTGCTAACTACTTCTGCCCAGCGTTGGAATCCGAATTCAATGAAAGAGAAGACTGCCAGGTGTCCACACGCCATCCGGGAAAGCTGCATCGATGGAGGCGAAGCCAGCTTCTGTCAAGCTGGAGCCCGCCTGGCCAAGAGTTCGCTCCTCAAGCCCTCGGGATAAGGCGCAACTAGCTGGGTGTCTTGAATATTTAAACTATAAACCCAAAACTGAAGCATTAGCAATAATAGTTACTAAGCTTCTATATAATCATCTCAGGAACCCGTATACGGGTCTTCATGCAAACCTTCGAATCGCGCTCGCGGGTTCCGCTTTCTGGGCTCCACCTCCTGCAGCCTGAGGCCAATGACATGAAAGATCAGCCCCTGGTCCGGCGCCACCTCAGCCCAAATGAAACGGTGAGCGCAAAACGTGATCTACACACCTTTGGGTGTAGACATATATATATATGCATAGTCTGGACTCTGGACATGTATTCTACGATCATCGTTGAATGTACTTGGCAACAGTAGCACAAATACGAGAGCACACACACACAGGCAGGCACACACAAAGATTTATATATAAGAACCTCACAATTCACAAACGTGTCTCTCTATATATATATATACAGTATATTACAGTATATAATATGAATGTGTTGGGTCTATCCTAATACCTGTAACACTGGATGATGATGATGATGATGATGATGATGATGATGATGATTATTATTATGATGATGATGATTGGTAAGGGCCTTGTTCATCCTTGTTCAAGAATAGTGATAATTGCTTACTGACTGTTACAGGTAATAGGACAAACCCAATAGATGTGTGTGTGCATAAAGTGTCCGCATCTCTTGTACATATGCATGGTCAGCAGTTCTTACCCTGTCTATTATGGTACACTATGATCATTTCCAAGGCTTTGACCGGGAGCTATCGCTCATGTCCACGACACAGGAAGCGTTGTTTTGGGCTATTTGTGTCAAGCCAGCATAGGGCATCGGCTCCCCTGTTTGTGCCGGGCGAGTCTGAGTCTGTAGTGTTTCGGTTTGACCATATCCATCGGCGCCTACGCGACAACACCTTTTTTCACTGGAGCTTCGGTCTGGTCTCTGTGGAAAGCATGCTAAGCGCAAAGGATTCGAAGCAAGTCAACATGCCACAAATTCTTTTTGAAAAAAACACTCCGAGCAAGGATGTCTTTCGACCCAATACTCTTCAATCCATCAATCAAATACAATATGTAATATTATGTAATCATGCCTGACACTGATGACCCCCCCAACAACCACCAGGATTAGCAGCCCATTGGGAGGATTTCATCGAGAACTGGACCCTGGCTCCCGAACCATCGAGAGCAACATCGCCAGCTGAGCGATGTCATCTGCTGGCAGCACAGAAGCCTGGCAGCAGACTCTGCAAAGTTATGGCGAAGATCTCGCCGGAGCCAACATGAGCCAACACGATTCATCTGTCATGAGATATCATGAGCCATGCCATCCACACCGCATTATTCACCACCTCAAGCAAAAGGACAATCATGGCCTTCCTGATCATTGTAAGACACTGCCATGCCGCACTGTCTCGACGATGGCCACGCCACGCCTTCTCGGGGCCGGCAAGGAGCTGGGCCTGGAAGACAAGACCATTTGGCAGGATCCCCTCACTTTGGAAACATTGGTAACGGTAAGAGTATTACCGCAAAGGTATCGAAACTATTGACTTATGCTTGTGTAAAAAAAATCAAACGTTCTTGTTCACATTCAGAGCTTGGTAACAAGTGGTTCACGTTCGGGCAAGTCGCACGAACATAACCAAGCTATGTGGCGAACCTGAACAAGTAGTTTGCTGTGAGACATTGAGAGACTATGGGCCCATGTTTGCCTCAAACCCCGCCCCCCCCCAAAAAAAAGAGGAGAGAGCGGGAGGCTGTGATCGTGCATGTTTCTTGTTTCTCATATGCTTCTACCTCATGTGTCATGTGATGTGATCAAAATCCATGAGTGTTCCAGGAAATGTTAGAGGCAACAATATTTTAGAAGGACTAAAAGAAAGGAAAGAAATGTATTTGACAAGCATTTGTTTAGGACAATAGTGATGGAACGTGACATTGCTGATTGTACTGGTCCAATCGGGATTGACAAATAGAGATGTATCAATGTATGATGTATGCAATTTATAGTCACGCAAGGGTTCAGAATATCAAATTATACTAAGAGAGGGACACCGGAATCAAGCAACCGTTCACAAATACATTGAAACAGTCATAGATTGATAATATCACAGTGAAGGATGCCACAAAGAGCATCAAATTAAATACAAAAAAATGAAAGCTGGATAAAATCACTTGTTGATACATATGATGACACAGAACTGATGAGGGAGAACGAATGCTAATTTGACAAGAGAGAAAGTGCTGGAGCTACTGAATGTGAGTGATGAAGTGTTTGTAGCAACAGCGGGGCATCCATAAATCACATGAAAGTTGTCAAGTTGTCATTGTTTTTACACCCCAGTCAAGTTACACACTTTCAAATAACATATGAGCGAGAGAGAAGCAAACGTAGGGTAAACACTTTGGTCGCCTTGGTGAAGGACAATCACATCTACATGATGAACTATGACCAGGCCAACAATCTGAGTCACATTGCCTCTCCTGAAACTGTGGGCTTAAACGGCCAGTCAGAACTACATTGCTGACAGGGAAGAATCGGTTAAATACCAATCCTTTGAACATATCATATAGATAAGCTACTACAAATTACAAAAAACGTATAACCTGATGCAAGTGGCTTACCATGGGTTTTGTATCAACTTACATCAGCAAAATATGGCCACAATGTATTAAACAAATCAAAGTGAGATCCAAAAAACAAAAAAACTAAACACATCACATCAATTACCTACAACATTGTAAGGCAAGACTGTTCAAGGCAAACCCTTCACTGCAAAACACTTGTGAATGCATCACATGAATTCAACAGGTGACTGAAGAAATGCGTAATGTCAACGATGAGGCACTCAAGGAAACTCATAAGTCCAAATATTCAGAACTAAATGCCTAAATACTAGTAGCGCCCCTTCTAGGATACGAAACAAAAAGACTTGATGGAAGCAAATATTAACTGATGCCTTTTCACAAATCTAACGCATACCATGTTTCCCGAGTTTGATGTGTGGATGTCACCAAATGAATGGTTACACACGTTGCGTTGCTGAAGCATATGGGGAAACATATGTGTCAACAAGAAGCTTAATTGGTGTATGGGATGTGTTTGAAAAGTAGACGCGCAAAAACGTTCAAACGAACATCCGCACATATACGCGAGTGGGAGATAGGGTAAAAATGAAGAAAACAAACACAATGACAGAAGAAAGGGATAACTTCACACACTATTTATATAAAGAGTGAACATAGCTAGGGAGTTTAAGGGGTTCCACTTCATCTTGGGCAAACCTATTGCAGGGTAGGTGATATTCCGAGATTATTGTTGACAAATTGTTGAACATCAAAAAATTCCTCTCGATGTTTGTTAAAGCATGTTTACTGTTCATATTGTTTTAAGCAATGATAGTAACTATATTTCTCACTCAGAGCCAAATACTCCACTATCAATTGCATGAATGGGTATTGAGGAACTTACAAACAAGAACTCAGAGCTAGCAAAACAAACAAAGAAAAATAAACCATGTCAATGTCTGAGGGGCAAATCCTGAGACATGGACCTGTCTGGTTTTGTTGGGGGGGAGTTGGTGACTATGTCACACGGACAGCAAATGCAAAGAGAATAGGCATGATGAAGCCTTCTTTGCACAAGCAAGTAACAACCAAACCTAACATGAAAACAATAAGGAGATACTAGTACAGTATATATAAATAAGTAGAATTTGCTCAAAATGCACATGCTGAGGGTGCCGTGTTCAGAAACATAAGCACGCACACACACTCATGGATATGCGTACTGACCTGATAGCGGTGCCACACGCCGGCCTAGGGTTCCATTTCCTAAGGGTACAGGTAAGGAAATCGAAAAGGAAGTGGAGGTCAGGAAATCGAAAAGGAAGTGGAGGTCCATCTAGTGGAGGTCTCAAAGGTTGCAGGTGGTCAGCAGCTCCAAACGAAGACATCGATCGAGCGGACGACAAGGTGACGACGTTCGTGCAGAAAAGTCAAGCTCACAATCTGACATGAATCACCGCTGCATTAGACGGTTACTGCAAAACACAGAAGTGGAACAGCTTGAAAATAGTTCACGCTGCAGGTACAGGAATGTGCGTCCACATTCCCTTCCGGCTGAATCCCGTAGCTTCGTTGGCATGGCCTGGGAAACAGCTGCCATGCCCCCTGCTGTGGTAAAACTGGAAAGTGAGAAAGCAAGCTGAGCAAATCCAAAAGGATCCCTATGATTCCAAGGGTTACACACACACGCCTCCCCGAAGGGAGGCATGTGTGACCTCCATCCTGCCCGGAAAGGAGGTAGGCTCATGTGCACGCAAAAGGGACAGATGAAAATGAGAAGGACAGGACAGACAAAGGTGTGTGTGGTTGCCGATGAAAAGGAACCAAGTGAAGAGGGACAACCGATGAGCCAAACCTCATTGTAACGAACCTGGGCCACCTGAACCTCGCTGTAAGTATAGTACGCGTGCGTGTATGTGTACAAACTAAGGTCCGGACGAAAGTGCGCGCAAGAGAAAGAAAGGATGAGGATGAAAAGACATGAAGACAGAAAGACATGAAAGAAAAGAGGAAAAAACCGTCTGTGGGGGCCGATGAAAGGGGAACCAAATGAACGGGGACAAACCGATGACAAACCAAACCTCATTAGAAAAACCTGTTGCAGAAGCCTAGTTTGCTTGTAAACACGCCGCGCGCGAGGAAAGAGGGGGCAGGGGGAGGAAGAAAAGAGAGGGAAAGAAAGAAGGAGACAAAGGTGCTCCCAGCGACGACACATGCGTCCAGGGACACACCAAAAAGAAGGGCTCCCAGCTATGACGAAGCATCCAGGGACACCCAGGGAAGAGGGTGAAGAGAGGAAAGAGAGGAAAGAGAGAAGGAAAGAAAGAGAGAGGGAGAGAAAGGGAGAGGAAAGGAAGGTGTTCCCAGCTACGAACAATCGTCCAGGGACACACCCAAGAAAGAGAGGGGTGATCCTGAGTATTGCATTCAGGAAAACCCCAGAAAGCAAAGAGGGAAGGGGGAGAAGGGGGGG